CTTGGACCAAAAATGTAACTCAGATTGCGTCACGGCTGCTACTTTTCACATCCAAGGGTCCGATACAGCGATCACTGAGTCACTCAGAGTGTCGTCACATAAACCAACAATAAATAAATTATTATTCCCGTATCATAAATTTTACTTTGTAAAGTGAAGTTATTATGTTTTTATATTCATACAGATTCATGAAACGTATAACGAAAGAAATTAAACAAAAACAAACTCCGTGCCCTATAGTCTGCAAGTGAACTCTACCGACCGAGCGACCGCCGCTGGTCGGTGAAGTTAGTGTCAACTTTTGCGGATAGAGGGTGTCACGTGGTGAGCGCAACGCATCCCCACGGCCGTTAATATAGGTTTCCTAGAGAGAGACAAATAGAGAGAGAGAGAGAAAATCAAAGGATAAAAGCGAATATGAAAGATGACCTAAAATGTTTTATCTTATCATCTTCTAGATATGCCTGGAAAAAGAGAATTCAATCACAACTTGAAAACAATGGCGTTACAAGCGATTTGACTAGTTCTTTGTTTAAAGCTTTCTACCTGGTAACGACTCATTCGCTGCTAATGTTTTAGTCGGAACGTGATTTCTGGGTCGTTGTTCAGCAACGAGCGTCTGGATCTGGCATCACTATTCCGGCTTTCAACTGTCACGTTAAAATATTATAGGAAGAAATGTCAGAAAGAAAAAAAAATTCATTTCGCTCTTCCTGGACGAGCAGAGGTTGAAGCATTGTTAACTGTGAAGACATTACTAAAGCAAGTTAAATGATTATTAATTCTAAGGACTTTTCGTCAAACAAAGAACTTATATAGCATTGGACGACACTAGTGTTAACATACATCATAAAAAACGAACAGGTAGGTTAGTGCAGCGTTACTGTTCTAGACCTGTTTGGGCCAGTTAAAATCTCGTGTGAGTTATCGAATTCCCTAAGATGGTTACCTTAATTCTCTCTCGTCGAATGCGAGAAAATAAAATATCATATTAGACTGACATTTTAAGAAAAGTCGTTAAATATATATCAATTTCTCGACTGAATTATCGAATATCCATCTTCCACGTTTCCCTCGAATTTCCAGACGAATATTAGGTTAATAATTTGAAACAGGTCACGGCAGTCGCTTTCAGAATCACAGTTACAATTCATTATCTACATGTATCTCAATCTCATCACCTTCGAGTGACCTCTGCAGATAAACAGCAGCGATAAATAACTACAAACCAATTCAATATATGGGGCTTTGTTGAGGTCTTCCATGACTTACAGACATACTATTAGGTAGTGCAACATATTCCTGTAGAATTTGGCATTGTTTTGTTCGTCTTTGATGTTCTCATTACCACAAAATGTTATTCCACAGAACACAAAACGCCATTTACTAAATTACGACAACAGCAGCAGCAACAGCATTCTAGGAATTTCAGAGAGTCGCATTCCACATTCAGAATTGTCACAATCTTCTGTGACGGAAATCATTTACAGTTTAGTGACGCGGTTCGTGAAGACTGACTGAGAGAGATGCTACATTAAGTCTTAAAACTTCCACTGCTTCGGTCGTAAAGCCAGAGAGCCAGTATTATTTCTTAATGCCAGTGTCTATACGGATTTAGCAAACTACCTCAATAAGGTTGGTTCTCCTGCGGAATTACAAGAGAAAATTTTCAGTGGGTTTCATATGCAAGATATATTCTTACCTTTCTTGAAATGGGGACTAAACTAATTATTTGGGGCATATGTTTAGGGCGGAACCCGGCACAATAATCACTTCTTAAAACTTTTAAACCACATAAACTGCTATACATACTTTCAGCTTTAATATTAGAGAACTGAAAATTTCCCAGGATAAATACACACATTAGATATAAATCCACGGGGCTGAGTTCTTCTTCAGAAAATGCCAGTCGCTCAGCTACTCAAGAATTTCATATTATGGCATACAGACTCGTTGCTAAGCAACGCGAAACAACGATACAACTGCAATTGCTAGGCAACAGTTTCGTAAATACTCAAAAGTACTGAGGTTATTGATACGTAGCGGCCGGCCCACAACTATGGAAGAAGTTCAAATAGTTTTAACCCGTGTGGAGGCGGGGTCGAACACCCGCACCCAGACCCAGCGAGTCGTAGGAGGCAACGAAAATGGAAGTCTCGACACCAAGACTTACTGACTCACTCACCATCAGTCGCAATGTGACTTTGACTTTGACTTTGGCTTGAGATAGTACAGTGGAGTGGAGCGAGGTGATTGGTGAGTGAGTGAGTGAGTTAGAGAACTGTTGTTGTCCTGTACTTGTAAGCTGTTGCTGTTAGAAGCTGGTAGCTGAGACACGGCGATAGTTCGAGAACCGAGAGTAAGGGGAACGTCAGCCGTTACAAGCCGTTACCAGTCAATGACTCCGAAGACGCAACATAGTGAGAAGACTTAAGTGTGTGCTGTAGTGAACAGCAGTGTGTGTGAATTAGTTACTTGTAGTTACGATCTGTAAGTGTTTACTAATACAATTACCAATGGAAACCCCGTCTGTAGTTTATATATGTATATATAAGTTACATATGGTGCCAAAAATAAACAGGGATTAGGAGGGCTATCTTCGGAGATGCTAAGCCTGCTGTCCGATAGAATTTTAGCTATGTTTCCAGTAGATCTACTCCTTTCATCTTCAGATAACAAATATAGATTATTTTCGACACAAAGTTAACTGAGTGGTCGCTGCAATGAACAGCAGTGTGTTTCCTGTGAGGTAGGAACTTCGGCTTTAAAAAACGTCTGAATGAAAAACTTATCGTATTATGTCACATTTCTATTACTCTGGTACAATATCAAAAGCCAAGACTGATCAATATTAACGCTCTCAAGGGGTCAACCATTCTCGCAAATTACGATATAAAGCAGCCGTTGCTTGTAACAGGCACGATACTTAACGTACCCCGAGAATGTCCCATCCCTGTGATGGAAGAAAATGACCATCCTGAGCCTAATTTCTGTAACTGCAGCTCTGTGGAATATAAGCAAACTACCCAGGAGACCAGTCACTGGAAACTAGCTAAGACACTGCTAAAACCAAAGCGTCAAACACAACACGAATACAAGTTCATACAACGGGAACAGTCCTGCTTTAGCATCAGAGTAAACTGCAAACATCACCCCACTTCAAATATTGACAATGGCCAGAACTCTCGAAGTCGTCCACACGAAGCGATCAGAGAATTATCGATTTTTCTAGCACCTCAAGTATCGGAGAATTTCCTCCTTTGCGAAGTCTCGGGTTACAATCAAATTCAGAACACACAACAATAAAACAAACACCAGGAAGAGAGCTAATCTAGTAGAAGTCATAGTAAGTTTCAACCCCAAAACCGGTATCTGGCTGACTGCTTTGTGCCATTCACAATGACAGCTCTCTGCCGAAAATTGTGGTTATCACTGATATCCTGATTGGACACTTTCACTCATATTACAATATATAAGCGAACCAAAGGGCAAACCATGAACCACTGGTGCCTATTCAAAAGAAAGATATATCCTATCCGGCTGCCAACTCGTTTTTCTAATTACCCTGATGCCCCCCCTTTCACATCCTACCCCGTACATACGTGTCTGGCATGTACTGTCTTCGCTCGCTTGGAAACCGGGATCGTGGGTTCGAATCCCACTCAGGGCATGGATGTTTAGTTTGTGTGCGCGTTTTTCTGTGTTTGTGTACAGGTAGAGGCGTCGCGACGAAATGATCACCCGCCCAATAAGTCCTACCGAATGTGTAAGATCTAGAAAAACCGAAGTGAACGGAGAAGTTCGTGGAGGTAGGCCTAGACCCACTGGGTCTGTAGTTCCAAGGAAAAAAAGACATACGTGTCTTCTAATCACGAGGCTCTAGTTCATTAGTGCCTTCAGACTAGCAGCATTCTGTTTGACTGCATGGCCAAAGCAACCACTTTGGCTCTGTAGGTAAGCAATGGTCTCCCGTTGGTGAACTACAAATTTCGTTTCCGGTTTCATCAGTAGCGTTCACCTCTACGTGATTCCTCAGTTCATTTCAGGCTCTCGATACGTTCCCCCCTTGACTTTACGTAAAATATTCGCGTTTTTGTGATTATTGTGTATTTCTTACTAGCCTGAGGCCCGTGTCATTTGATGGTTATGTGAGCAAGAAGAAAGTACAAAACAACCGGTGTTTACACCTGTAAATATAAGGGACTGTGTTACGAACCTCGTTTGTTGTTTATATTTAATTTATTTGTTCTGATCTTCATCAATATTGGCATAACAACAATCTTTTAGGCCTATCTTTCCTCAAATGATTCTGCTGTCTTGTCTTGAATAACACTTTCCGGTTTTCACAACTTTGGATTTGGTAACAATATTTTATTTACAGAGCGAGAACGTCATGTTAAGTTTCACTGCAGTTGTGTTTAGTGCTCCATTTGTAGTGTTTTTCTCTTCGCAACGATTCTCAGTGCAGTGAAAAGGAAAAGAGAATTTGATTTGTATGTGGTATGCCCCCTCATCATCTCACTAACATCTGGCCATGTTAATGGTGTCTCTAGGGAAGCTCAATAATCTGTCAAGTTCTGCCTCATTTTACTGACATCTGTGAAACTAATTTGGAAGTCAATTAAAGATTTCTGCAGTTAGTAATATCTACAGAACTGCCAAATACGAGTCAATAAAAAGTTTCCTCACAGAGGAGTTATTCTAAAATGGCACCAACGGAATATTGAATAAGAAAATAAAATAAATGTTATCTGGAAGATAAGTGCAGTTTCCATGCACCAACAGCCTGAAGGCTCTTTGCATCAGAACATCTCCGTGTGCACAACTTCTCATAACAACTTCATAACTAAATCCAGCCCCTCAATTTCTTGTCACTGAATTAAACTTCTGCTTTATACAAAAAAAAAAAAAAAGCTGTAGGCAAACGTCACAAACGCCAGCTTCAGAGCTCCAAAATTTTAATTTTGGTGGATATATTATATCAACAATGTGATAATTACCTTACTGCTCTCCCCAGAAGCACCCCGGAGGTCATAACGCCCTTCTGGAGAATACCAATGAAGATGAGTCAAAAGTTTAAGAGAAGCTCTCCAGTTAAATACCTGATGACACGTGCGCTGAAACTCCGACAGGGAGATCTGGTGTCATGACAAGGCGGTTTGCACATACCTGCAAAACAAACACATATCCTGTACTCCCTGAGCTAGAGTCCAGTATTTTGTGAATTCCTCTACCCACTTCATAAGTTGCAGTGACATAATCAAAACCAATAAGGATTTCAAAATAAGACAGCACAGTTTGTCATAAACATCAAGAAACAACGTATGTCAGAATCTACATTCAATACATACAGGTATACCAGACATGCCTTAATGTAGCTTGTTTTCTTATCGTTTCGAGGACGGTCAAAATCATATTTCAAAAATCGGTAACATACCATTACTATGCTAAACCTGCCATCCGATCAGCCCCTTACAAACTCAGCAAACTTCTTAAAAGACTTCCACTTAACACACTGCAGTCATATTCAGAATCACTGCAAGTATTTCAGTCATAGCAATGATGATTCTGTATTTCAGCATCCCGTTGCAATTGTTCAAATTAGCGTCTATTGTTTATCTTCCGTCAAAATTACAACACTTTTACATTCTACACTTCAACACTACATATTTCGGCCTCAAACGGCCATCTTCAGGTGTTTTTATGTTACAGATATTTTACTAAAACTGTGTTAAAACTTTTAAAGGATTTTATTTCGTTTTACTTACGAAGATTGATTTTAACACGAATTAAAACAGTGTAGCAGTTTTAACACAGTTTTAGTAAAATATCTGTAACATAAAAACACCTGAAGATGGCCCTTTGAGGCCGAAACATGTAATGTTGAAGTGTAGAATGTAAGAGTGTTGCAATTTTGACGGAAGATAAACAATGGACGCTAATTAGCAATTATATTTAGTCGGCGCTATTCCGCAATTCATCAAGAAATAATATGGACCAAAAATATCTGAGAGCTCTGTATCTTAAGGAACAGTTACAGACGTGTACCTTGTTATATCAACGCTTCTTGACCGAGTGTGGCATCCAGGTGTCGCAGATAATTCAATTTCCGTGTAAAACATGCGCAAATTATTTCAAATCTTAGCTTCCTCTCTCAAAAATCATACAATGTGTGTATCTAAGTGCCCCCGAGAAAGTTCAGGTCTTTCTTTTTTTCAGTTTGCGTGGCAGCCTTCAGATGAACATGCAATTAGCAGAAATGGCTCCACGAATCGGACTCGTCTTTTTCAGAACCATCTGACAACGAGCCTATGCATTGACACTCCAGTAAATTTCTAGGTTTGTTATAAAAAGTCTTCGCTTCCAAATATTAACAGTTGAAGAAATCCACGAGAAAGTATATTTCCCATGAAAAGTATTTACGAAACAAAAAGTAGAAATGCTTAGGGGGCCTCAGTCTATGGGAAAAGCAGATGGCCGGAGTCTTATCTTCATTGATTTTTATGTTCCAGCGCTCATGCTAGGTCTCAATAACACTGAGAATTACTCGCTACATGTTTATGAGAACATAACGCTCTCTGCGGTATGTCGCACATACAGAATGTCTCAAGAGAAGAGGTCAACATTCTGAAAGATGATAATATCGGTCATTCTATGCAAAAAAAAAAAATATATATATGTGTGTGTGTGTGTGTGTGTGTCCTATTCCGTACCGTTTCCAATGGAGAACTATTTCATCGTAAAATTTCAAAATTATTCATAAGAAAATTATTACGCCCTGTTTCGAATACTAGTAAGTATTGCTCAAGTGAGAAAGCTGGTGCATTTTACCTAGCACAATACATTTTCGAAAATATACACCGTCAATATCAATGCACTTTGCAATTCGTGTGAGGACATGGCCTGTTGCTCGTCTGAGTACATCTTGACATTCCTTTATGAGGGCGACTGCATGAAATAGTTCTGCATCGGAAATCGTTTGGAATATGACACACGTACATATACATATGTATATTACTTATAATTGCCCGTACTGTGTCCTTCCAGAGTACTGGCCTTTTCTTCTGGGACACTCTGCATAGCAGTGTCATCAGCAAAGAGACATAGGCACTGGAGGCATAGCATTTATATACACTGTACAATGTTGGAGAAAGAAGGGAAACTTGTGGCACCCCTGCTTCTTTATCCCTTGGCGTGAACTGTCCACTTGTCTTGCTTATAACACTTCGGCTCGCACAACGTAGGAAAGACCGTTCCTCTGTTGCACTGAAATTGTTGCCGTGGAACTGTTGCGTTTGGGTTTGTTGACGGAGCCATTACCTAGCAACTGCTGTTGTATAGTCGTTTATTTCGTTGTTTTTTCTTACGAATGGTTCTACATACCCCAACATATAACAGTCGGAAAATGTGCATAGTGTTTTCAATAAATTGCATCAACTTCACTGAAACCACTTGGGAAAGCGTCTGTGATGTCTTGATTATCTTCGTTATTTCAAGATACGGCGACACTTGCAGGAAACCGACTCTTCAGGCTACCAACGAGTTCCTATTATTAAGTACCACAAGCTGTGAGCCGCTGAACACAAACGGCAACACTCAGTCTGGGATCGTTGCAGAACGGTCTGCTGTCAACATAGAAGCTCCAAACCAAGCCTACGACTACCATGTAGGTTTTTATTGTTCTCCACTGCACAACGCCCGAAGAATGTAACTACGGGAAATCATGTCTGTGTGTAAGGACTCGGGACAGCTCAGTCAGTATAGAGAAGCGCTTTGGGCTGGATGACCCGATTTCGATTCTCGGTATTGTAAGATTTTCTCTTCTCCACAACATCCAGACCGCTCCTGAGGTTCACCTAGCCTCTGAGGTCCACCTAGCCCCTGAGGTCCACCTAGCCCCTGAGTTCCACCTAGCCCCTGAGGTCCACCTAGCCCCTGAGTTCCACCTAGCCCCTAAGGTCCACCTAGCCCCTGAGGTCCACCTAGCCTCTGAGGTCCACCTTGCCTCTTATCCAATGGATGCGGAGGATCTTTCCCAGAAGTTAAAACGACAGAGGCGTGAAACTGACCACTCACCGCCATGTAGTGTCCAGGTAAAGACAGGTGGAGTTATACTTCCAATCCCCAATATATAAACACAGGGACAGCTTTACTTTTATATCTGTTTGTATATCTGTCTGTAAGAAAGTTTTCATTCCACAACGGATTAATATCAATTTTCGTAATGAGCTACGAACGGAGGTCAGTGCAAACTTGCAATTTCATTCCGTACAATCGGTAAAATGGCGGACGCAAGAACTTGTCTTGTAGTAACGACACTAACATCAATTCAAAACTCCAGTAACCATAGTAACAAATTTAGACAGAACATCAAGTGAAACCACAGATGAACCAAATATTATGGCTATTTCTGCAAAGATTTTCGGAAGAGCTAGCAACATTCAGACTGCGAAGGTGCAGAGAATGGATATGGAAGCTAATGTACTCCGGCAAAGAGTACAAACTTCTTGTTCTTGTACAGGAAGTTTCCTTCTGATACAAGAGTACGTTATGTGTACATCCCCATCTCCATGATGACGTATAATTTCTATTGCTGAAATAACAGTGAAATTTAGATTTAACTGATGAGAAACAGTGGGATATGCCTATTAACTCTTTAAGAGTTAGTGAGATGTCTTCCATAAATTTTCTCAAAACTAGATGCCAACACGTCTGAGCGAGATATCTCGTGCGTAGCGTGTAAAGATCGACAATTCGCCTCTCGCCGTACTGTCGATGATTTTCTGTATAAAACCGAAATCAGAGGCAACCATTCAGGCTTACAGACAAATTCAGGAGGGAATTATGAGCAAGAGAATGATGGCTTTGTGATTTCATGACTGCACCTGTATGGTCTATTCTATATGGAAACAATACAGCACTTTAATTTCTAGTTTCAGTTTTATTTACGGCTCAAAACATCGCCGGCCATTGCTAGCTCCCAGAACTGTCTATATGCATGGACAAGCACATACTCGCAAATGAAATACACCTCACGGTAAAAATTTCACCTAAAGGTCTATTTTATGAAATTCGTTCGTAACTGTATCCGCTCTGGGGGGAACGCCTCGCCAACCTCAGTTATAAGCAAATTTCACGTGTTATGGTTTACAATAAAGATTTCTATCACGTTTTAAAATATTTGTCATTCACTGAATAAGTGGGCCCTATGAACGTGTGTTAAATTATAACGCTAAAGGGTTTAGGGTATTCGTAAATGGCGACTATAATCAATTCAATGTCACTGCGTTACAGCATAGGAATGCATAAACTTCGATACCCCACTTAATATTTTCCGTAGCAGTGCATAATTTAAGGGGAAATTGGTACAATTAATACAAATTCTTAAAAAATCTTCTTCGTCATAAAAGACATTTTGCAATTGGTAATAAGGAGGAAAAATTGCCAGTTTTTCATTGAACAACCAGAGAATATAAATACATTATTATAATTCAAAGATTTCAATCCAAAATCTTGCTCTCAGTAACAAACGCACCTTGGTATGTCTCCAAATTTGCTATCCACAATGATCTGCATCTCCCATTTGTTATAGAAGAAATACATAGACTGTCAACACTCTACCATCAAAGCACACTCGGACACAATAACAGACAAGTTGCAGAAATCAGCAACCCACCAAATGTAAGAAGAAGATTGAGGGGACAGGGGCCGTCTGACCTACCACAACCCGCAGATGACGAAGATTAAAACCATCACCATTCCTCTACAGGGCCTGACAGTGGATGACTTCCCTACTCAAGACACCTACTTAGAACAAATTTCCTTATTACTCCATATTATTTTTTATTGCTGGTGGGGTGGGAAGGAGGAACATAGACTGAGGGTGTTTGAGAACATGGTGTTGAGGAGAATATCTGGACCGAAGAGAGAGGAAGTGACAGGAGGTTGGAGAAAACTGCATAATGAGGAGTTTCATAACTTGTACTCTTTTCAAAATACAATTAGAAAGACCAAGTCAAGGAGGATGAGGTGGGCAGGGCATGTAGCACGAATGGGGGAGATGAGGAATGCGTATAGGATATTGGTGGGATAGCCAGAAGGAAAGATACCACTCGGAAGACCAACGCGTAGGTGTGTGGATAATATTAAAATGGATCTTAGAGAGATAG